GCATTTTCTTTTCTCGTCGAAGTACCGAATACATTTAGAGTAGTGGTGGAAATATAGATAATGAAATAGTACATTAACAAGCTAGTATCTAAGGTGGCTAGTAAACACATCAAGTTTCTGGCTTATATATTAGTGTTTTCATAATATCTGGCCTTAAACAATTCATAGGAAATATGACCTGTTAAATTACATTGAATTTATTTTTCAGTTATAATTTGATCGTTGTGAATACAACGTATCCCTTATCTCTAATCTCTTATCAGATAAAAACGTAACTTTTTTTATGTAACGCTTTTTTCGATTATGTGCCAAAGCTAAATCCCAACTCCATTCCCACCCACAAGTATTTCGTGACAAGTTTTTCATGACAAGTATTACCAAAAAAGTCTACACGGAGATGGGGTTTGGGGTCGGAAAGGTATAAGAGTGGGAATAGGGTTTGGGTTGGGAATGGGGTTGGAGATGGGGTTGCGGATGGGGTGGGAATAGGGTTGGGGTGGTAATTAGCTCTGGCACATAATTGAAAAAAGTGTTACTAAAATCAGCCATTTTTCAGCCGAGTCTGCAACCACGAAAGAGCATTTTCATGTCTCGTTGAAGTACCGAATAAATTTAGAGTAGTGGTGGAATTATAGGTAATGATATAGTATATTAACGAGTGGTAATAAGCTAGTATAATAAAACGTCAAGTTTCTGGCTAAAATTGTAGTGTTTATTGCTGGCTTAAAAAAATTCATAGAGAAATTGGGCTCTTAAACTGTTTTGAATTTATTATTTAGTTCTAATTTGAACGTTGAACGTACAACATATTTCTTATCTCATATCAGTTAACAGCGTAACAAATTAATATTCGAAATAGATCCGAAATGGTCATTCCAATAATTGTGTTTCGTCGTCGCTTCGTAGTTTTCGTTACATTGCGGCGCGTAACAGCGTAACGCTTTTTTGGTAACACTTTTTTTCGGTTATTTACCGGCTAAATCTCACCCTTATCTCCTACACCCTATTCCACTCCCGTCCCCAACCCTTTCGCTTTTTTCGTTACGCTCTTTTGGTAACGCTTTTATGGTAACGCTTTTTTCGGTTATGTGCCAGAGCTAAGACATGAAAATGTCAAAAAAGCGTTACGCTGTTATCTGATAAGAGATAAGAGATATGTTGTGAGTTCAACGTTCAAATTAGAACTAAATGATAAATTCAAAATAGTTTAAAGGCCCAAATTCTCTATGAGTGGTTTTAAGCCAGATATTAAAAACTACAGTATTAATGTTTTAATATACTAGCCACCTTAGATACTAGCTTGTTACTGCTTGTTAATATACTATATCAGTATCAATAATTCCACCACTACTCTAAATTTATCTCGGTACTTCAACGAGACATGTAAATGCTCTTTCGTGGTTTTTCGTGTAATAATTATTGAAGTATTCATTTAACGACATTTCGAAAGAATTTTTTTTGTCAACGCGATTGTAGTTTGTTTGAAAACTGAACTCCATCCGTTACAGCATGCTATAGTTTTATGAATTTTAATGTGAATAATTTTTTAACGCTTTCTAGATACTACAATGTCACAGGAGGAATTAATAACAACAATAACATCAAGACTTACCTTTTGCGTAATCATGATTTTTTCCTATCCTAACATATGATATAAATAAAAACAAATTTTTTATGATTTTAGCAACTCACTAATATTTATAAAGATATCAACACAAACTGTCCAGTTAACAAGAAAGCAGTTCAAGAGTATTTACTGAAGACAAAAGACTTTTATGAACTAAATGTAAATGAAATCGAAGCGATAACTGGACCATTGAAAGGTACGTAGAAAGAACAAGTTATAAAAATGTAAAACACTTTTATCTTCTTTTTCTACGAAATATGTTACAAAACAATTTTATGGCAATTAGACTGACTTTATTTAATATTGAAATATTCATTTTAGACATATATGTTGTATTCACAACTTTCAACATATAAATGAATAATAAATTCAATAATTTAAGGGGCCAAATTCTTTATGAATTGTTTTGGGTCAGATATAATGAAAACACTAATATATTAGCCAGAAACTTGATATGTTTACTAGCCACCTTAGATACATAAAAATGTATCCCGTGGTGTGGCGGACTCGTACGCAAGCTATATAATACCTTTCTCAAGTCCGATTTGCTTCTAGTTTAAAACAATGTGTAACCATGTTAATAACATTGAGCCGAAGAATAAGAACACGTTTAAATAACCTTTCTGGTTTAAAGAACGTCAAATCATATAAAATGTTTAGGTAAACTGGAAGAATTTAAACGTAGTACATTTCTTGTGTACTCATTTTTAACTCCCTTCATACTAATGTTGGCTAAACTAGTAATAAAAGTTTTAAATAACTTTTTTGAAACAATATCTAAATATTATAGCATACTCCCAATGATGGGATGTCTTTAATCCTTAATAAGCGTTCAAATCCTGATAGAAACGCTCTCCGAGTACGTTTCTGTATCCACAATAAGTTTTGAAAAATATTTGACACGATTTTAAATTATTCAAAAACTAAATTACTGATTTAAGATAGCTTGTCATAACACCCGGCATGGTCAAACTTTGTACATAAAAACGCAATAATTGCAACCACTCGTCTAGTTTCAGCATTGTATAGTTTATTAAAGTTTAATGTGAATATTTTTAATTGATTTCTAGAAACTGGTATGCCATGGGACGAATTTTATATATTAATGGTTTTTAAAAAATAATGAATACGCTACAACACCGGCCGATGATGGATTTAAACATTTGCAACCCCCAGGCAAGTAAAATGTTCACTCTTACACATTTTTTGTTTCTTCCTCAACTGAAGGATATTACATTTTATACAATTTTACGTATTGTATTATTATTATTGCATTGTTAATTTTTTTTTTACATAAATATTTTAGGGCTACAAATTTACTACAACATCGCCGTTTGCTGTATTATAAAATCAAACTTTTAAAATTTTTAAATTCAAGTTTATTTAAATACAAATTCAAGGTTTATGTATTAATTTTTAACTCTAAAGGGTGTGTGTTTATTTTTGTGTTAATTGAATATTTTACTTTTTGGGTGATTTGTAAAATTGTATTTTTAAATATTATTAATTTATAAAAATGTTAAATAACTGGCATATTAAAAATATAAATTAACCTTAGCTGCTACGTCTTAGTTCTAATATATATATGTATATCAATTTAGTATACATTAGAATTGATGCCTCAAAAGTGGTAGTTGTAACACTTTAGTACACTTTGTACATTTTATTTTAAGACGGTTGTGTAAACAAGTAATACATTTTTGGTTTTATCAAAGGACCAAACAACTAAAACTGCTTTTATGATTCGTACCCTGTAGCCAAGACTATTTTTTCACGTCTTATACATTTATTGGTTAATGTAACATTACATATAAATGTCTCATTTGATTGCAGTTCTCCAATAATCCTAAAATAGATACTATTTGACTTTTAAGTTTATTTATTTTTAATTTTGTAAATTAAGTGTTAAATATATGAAATGGTAAAATTTTTTATTTTTTATTTATTACTAAATTGATGCCCCAAAGGGTAAGAGTACAGTTTAAAGTAAATTTTACAAGTTATTATACAAAAACAAAAAAACATTACAAAAAATATTTGAGGATACAACAAGTATTAAATACATATAAATCAGTATAAATGATTTAACTATTTAAAACCGATCTCTTTATTATAGCTTCAGAGTTAAAAAAAAATTCTACCTTAAGGTTAATTTCGTTGCATTCCGTTAGCATTCGGTTGACCGGAGCAAAAAGATTAAAGTTCTGTCGAACAAGGGAAATATAGAATAATGTTTGAGAGCGTAGGTGAACTGAATGAACATTAATAATATCAAGTATTTCTGGGCAATCAATTTTATTATTCAATAACCCATTGTTATGGTATAATCTTCAGTAACCTTCACACGCCCTTACACAAACCACACAACTACACTAACCACACATATTATAATGAAGAAATACGATTTTATCGGTTTGAAAAAAAAATACTATGTTACTAGTACAGTGTACACATTTTATAAAAATTATAGAGTTTTCTAATCCTATTTGTTTAAAAGTTTTATATTGTGCTCTGGTGCGTTCCATAATTGAGTATGGGTCTATTATTTGGTCCCCAAATCAAGCTAACCTTAGTAATAAACTTGATAAATTACAAAAACGGTTTCTACGTATGCTGGTCGTGAAAGTGGGGAAATACGGTAAAGATGATGATTTGAGTGCAGTTGCTTCAGATTTCGGAATTGTTAGTCTGACTCAGCGACGGCGAATCTTTGACGTTTGCTGGATACATGGGTGTAATAGTTCTCGATACAAGTATCAAAAACTATTAAGAAATTTGTATGTTGTTCAAGCTAGTATTATTTTTTTTAACCGTCCTAAAAAATCCCTTTACATTGAGATAGAGCGTTAGAACTTTTAGGACCATCTTTTTTGGGGTCAACTTTATATTTTTCAAGTGGGAGCAAACTTTTTTTTTAACGGCCAGTCTAATATACAGACGCGCATTGTAATGTTTTTTCCTAAGTGATTCTATCTGTACATAAATAATGACCCTAATAATTTTAATCGGTTTTTAAGTTTTTGTATCGTTTGAAAATGTAGACTAAGTACAAATAATGTTGTCATCACATATGTTTTCAGTTTTTACATTTAGATAAATGTTATATTTTACAAATGCAATGTTTACAGTTTAACTAGTTTTCTTTATGTAAAATAGGTTGATTTTGGCCAAATCGTGTTTTGTTATTTGTTTTGTCTGATAATTTAAATTTGCTCACACGATATTACCATATTGTTGAAAATATTGTAGCGAATACACATTTTGTACAAATATGCTTTGTATTTGTCTAGCATATGTATCACGGTGTTATAATATATAAGAACAAAAAATATGTTTTGGAAAACATTGTTTTTTAAAACTGTGTCAAGTCACTGTGTTACTGTTTATTCGTCGTTCGTGTTTGGTGCTAATAGTACAGCTTTATTTACTGGAATTCTTATTATTTAAAAAATAAAAATTAATACAACATGCATTTTAAGAACGCCATTATTGTCTGCGCGGTGTATTTCTTAACGTCGGCATGGGTAAGCGTATGATATATATTATAAAATCATCTCGGATAGTATATCAACTCAAAAAATTAAATACTTACCGATCATGTACGATAGAACACATGTGTGTAAATCTGCCACTTTATTGTCAATACGTTCACGCAGTAAGTTTACCAATAAAATTGATAGCCGTCTTACTTTATTTTAGAGCATCGGACTTAACAGTGATCAATTGATACAGGCAAATAAACGGTTTGAAACTGACAATAAGTGTAAGAATGGAATTTGCGAGGAGGAATTCAAAAAATTCGTGACAGAATACTTTGGAATAGCATGGAAACGTCCTCAACATTTAGGATACAATTCGAGTTACATACTGATAAACAATTAAATTACTTATACTTTTGGCAATTAAAGTCGACCGTTAATATGGCCGTCGAGGGCTTTACAGTTTGCACTCGGTTAATTAATATTTGTTGAGCTTAATAGATCATACCGGGTGATTCATTTAACGCCCTACACTAGTTTACTCTTATAATAATTAAAATTTTTTTTAGCAATTGCTAGAGGTTTATCAACTTTTGAAACTTAAATAGTAATACATATCAATAATTTAATTTGATTTTTTTGTAATTTTATAGTTATTAGTTAGGAAATATTATATTCTTTTTATATTAAAACCTTATAAACTTAAGTTTTTTAAATGGTTGAGTTAAATTAAGGATGGGCAGTGGAGTGCGGTTGAGTATTGCACGCAGAAAAAATAGGTACCTCTAAATAGTAATCAAAATAATTGAAATAATTATTTTGTGTAAAATAAGATTCCGTCTTTTCTACAAAATGTCTTTTCTATCCATTTAAAATGTATACATTCTAGGTAAAACATCCTCAGCTATCAAAAAAAAATTATTAGAAAACTTCTTAAATTTTGGGGGAACACGAAAAATCAATATTTTTTCAGAAAGCTGAGATTATTTTACATAAGAAACTGATTGTGAATAATTTTTTTTGATGGCCACGAAGTCACGAAAAAAACTAAAAATACTTTTTACGACCATGGCCAAAGTATCCAAAAAAATCGAGAACATATTTTTCATCATAACAGACATGCAGTGTAATGTTCCAAAAAATCCGTTAAAAAATTTATTAAAAATGTTGATAACCAGTTTTGAATAATTCCTCTTTAAGTTATTAAAAGTTAAAGGGTAGGATGAGAGGTGGAGTGCGTGCGGTAGAGTAATTCGTGCAGATAAAATTAACTAAGCGCTTACTCTACCGCACTCCACCTCCCACCCTACCCTTTAACCTTTAATAACTTAAGGAACTCTTAAAAATTGGTTATAAACATTTTCAGTAAATTATTCTTAATAAAATGGCTATCTTATTTTTAATAAAATTAATGTGACAAAAAAAATTAAGATGAAAACATCTCTACTGTCCATCTTTTCTCCCGTCCTAAATTTTAAACTTTAATAACTTTGAAACTGATTATCCAAAACTGGTTATCGACCAGTCAAAATGTTCAGCAAATTTTTCTTAATTCAAAAAGTTAATCAAATATGTACGTTACTATAATACGTCAAATTATAATACATTTAGCCCAACTAATAACTAGAAAATTATAAAAAAAAAATTTTAAAAAGTCTAATATTTTCTAAATAATAGACTGGTTCATAGTTACCAATCACCCGGTACAAACCGTGCTGTTTATAGCGCAAAAGAGTATAAATGAATTTAAAAAAAAACTTAAAAGTAACACTAGAACATTTAATTTAATTAATTTAATTTTATAATAAAACATTAATACTTATTTAATTTGTCATGTCTTTGTGAGAGACCATGTATATACAAATAATAACTAATCAATTTGTATACAGCTGATTCCGATTGTATGAATGTATGTCGTTTATTGAAGAAGTTGGCGACAAAAGACAAAAGCTCCGACAAACTCAAGGTATATAAGGTCTCAAATCAACTAATTAAAACTTAAAATGAAATATATATATAAATTATTGGCAAATATCGAATTGTGCTATAATCTGCGTTCGTTTCGTTTGATGTTTTTTTATTATTATTTTTCATATTATTACTAGAGTTATAAATTAACTGAAATGTGATATATTAGCGTAGGTCACTCATTTTCTTACGAAATAATCATGATTTTGTAGTGTTTTTTGTTTAGAGAAAATTAGTGACTTATCTTTAATGAAACCTGTAAACAAAAGGTAACTAAAGTTTAAAATTTATTGGGGCGAGAAATAAAGTAATATTAAACTTTATTATAATTAAAAATAGTTGCTCAAAATCGGGTTTCGACCAGTCGAAATTTGCAGCGAATTATTTGCTATTTAAAAAATGAATAACATAATTTTTACGGTACCGTTTGAGAAGCTCAAATTCATAGGACATTACACATTAGGCATGGTGTTTTTTTTTTATTGACACCGTAGCTATTATAAATTGAGCGAACTGTTAGCTAAATAAATTTAAGATGCTAAAGATATTTTTTATGATATTGGTTGGGAATATTGGTTGGTAAGATATTCATTGCTGTTACAAGTAATCCGTAGTACAGAGCCTGAAAGTATAAAATGTTTTCAGGATAAAATACTCACGCCATTAGAAGTAAAATTGTACGTGGATGAGTTCATGAAAGTCGCCCGATCTCATGAACAACCGGGATATCTTACTCTGCGACAGCTATCAGAAGTATTTAATTATTGGAAACCGATGAATGATACATTGAAACAAAAATCAGAACATCTTAAAAGCGGAAAAGGCGGTAATGCACATAAGCCGAACAGGCGCTACACTAGATTTAGACAATTTTTAATTCCTATTTCAATTTTAGAAGGCTATGTATTGTACGTGGCGGAGTTCTTGTTGATCATGTTGGATATTAAACAACCAGTAAGTGCAATACTCATGTAAAAGGGGGGGGGAAGTAAAATCTCTGGATACATTAAATAGAAAACTTCTAAAAGAACCAACTTAAAAACCAAGCACATTCCAAACCAGCACAGTAAGGAAATACTAAAGTGGGGTTCAGTAACTACAGATTCGCATCAAAGCGTTTTCTTCGAACGATAAGATTAAAATTATAAAAAATAAAAAAAAATTGAGATCAGATACATTAAAAATTGTATAAAAACAATATAAAAAAAAAGATTGTAATTTCTTATTAAACCCTATGAGATGTTGAGTGGTTCATGATAATAGAATCACCCTGTATTGTATAATTATACTGTTCCGGAAACGAGTTTATTCTCAATTTGAAAAGTTAATGAAATGTATCTGTGAAATTTTATGTGATCAAAAAGCCAAAATTTCGTCAGAATATTTATGAGCGTGACCCTAACATTTTGAATTTAACTTTTGATATCCAAAAAAAAAATCATAATTGCAAACACAGCTTTTATTTATTCATTATTATCATCAAATTGGCAAATATGTATACTTATCTATCCTCGAATAACTAAATAAAAGAAATTTAGAAAAATATAAAATTATCAATAAACATGACTTACACTACTTACAATATTATAAAAATTAATATTTTATTTGTTTCAAATTTAACATGGAGTTAATTTATACTTTATGACTTCCTTGATGCTGAATACTTTCTTATAAGTTCTTTAATGTTTGGATGTATATTCATTGTTACTTATATTGTAGGGCAAAGGTCTGACCATAGCACAAATAAAAAAGTTTGGTATTTTGTACGATGCACATAAGACTTCTCATAGCATTAATCCTAAGGAAAGTGAAAAAGTGTTCAATGATCTTGGTATAACCGTAAACGACGAATTGAAATCGCTATTTAAACCGGATAGTAAGATTAAACAATTTCTTTATTATAATTATAAAGTAATTGGACTAATTACTACTACTAATTATTAAAACTCACACAGAACCCGTTGGAATATTGTTGATGGATTTAATCATGGCTGCGGCAGAACGCAAAGAGATGTTAATGGAGAATGTAATATCGCTTATAATTTGTTTTTTATACATCTTAAAGCTATTCACAGTTATATTTGTTATACTATGTCACCTACTAATTAATAATTATTACACATTTTTACATTATCAATTTCTTAGGATTTGAGAGTGATAAGTCCAAGCGAGGTTATGTATGCCAGAAACGACTTTAACGAATATGACGTTAGTAAAGACGGTGAACTGTCTCCTAAGGAGTATGCCGAGTTCAAGGAATACTTAAACCTTATTTCAAAATCAACGGGACAGTCGTCAGTTCTTATTGAAGAAAGGCGACTTAATTTAGAGAATTTCGATGGTGAAGTTAATTTAAACAGTGTTAAAATGATTTATTTAACAACGATTATTGGTCATCTCCTATTAAAAAAAATTAATTTTTTCGATTAAGGTATTGAAAAAGTAAACTTTGCGGAATTCTTGGAAACAGTATTGATTGTTGAAAAACATGATAGCGCAGAAGACTCTATGTCATCAGGTGATGGTTCCTGTAGTGATGAATCGCAGTAATAAACAATATTATTTGGACAATATTCAATAACCATATAATCATGATAATAATATATTTGAAATATTTTTATGTATTTATGAATTGAAATATACGGTGTGTAATAAAAAAAAAATATTATCTGGTTTCTATTAATTAATAATCTAAACAAAGCACAGTAGTATAAGAAAGCATTTCACGGAAGTCAGTAGTAGAAGTACTACTGGAACACTGGGTTCATGGGTAGGCATACACATATCGTTAAAAGCAGCACAATTGTACCTAATGACAATTATGCGCTTAAGAGTATTTTTTTAGTATTAGGGTGAGTATGATTAGGTTTGATCGTCTGTTTATAAAAATGTATTACCATAGATACCCATATATTATAATTAACAATGTAATAGAAATATTTTCATAACCTGTTGACTGTTGATTCACTTACACGAATAAACAGACAACAGGTAATAAAACTACTAGTATTGTTTTGTTAATTACGATAAATGGGCAATAATGGCAATACATTTGTATAGACGACCAAACATAATTACTACCTAACTATGTTTGATATATTTAAGACAATTTAGGTTAAAGGTACTGTGTAGGAAATTTTAGTATTCCTACGCATTGGATAAAAACCATATCGTATCATCTGATTTGAATATTCGTTGATTTAAACTGATTAAAAACATGCTTTTATAAAAAAATAGTAAAGCAATGAACTTTAAAGTAAGAAATAATTTACCACAATTTCTTGATGCGTTTTCCTTTTGTGGATTTCATCAACATAATTCAATTTTTAAATTCCGCAATATATCAGCATCCCAACTGTGGAGTGCCCCATGGGCCATGTATATAATATGTAAGAATGTTTTCAATTGTTAAATAGTAAGGTTTTTGTATATAATTTGACACATCGGTACATGTGTTTTAGAAGTATTACTGAATCCAAAAGTAAACACACATTTAGAAAATTCCATTGTAGCACTGTTTATATTATTCTTACCTATACGTGTTGACTCGAAAATAAAAATGTTGCCATTTTAGAAAGACTTCTGTGGTTTGATGGGTTTTTCACTATTTACATTATAGTGCTCGTTTGTGTTAAAATAATTTTATAAAGTCAAAAGACTGTTACATTTTTTTCAGATATTAAGCTTGCATTATAATAACGTACCTACACCTAATGTTGAAAAATGCTTATGGTCTTGACAATTTCAAAGCCAACCTGACTTGTTGGCGATATTCTAAAACTTTGAAAAAAGACCTACCTACGTGTTACAATTTTAGTTTTAACATTGAATGATACTTCAGGTCATTGTAATTTTTTCCCCTTCAGCTACTAGATAGAAGGAATAGTGATTTTTGAATCTCCTATTAACCTATACATTAATTTAGATATGCATGTTTCAATTGTATTGACTTTTAAAGTTTATAAAATCAACCAAAAGAGCAGAAGCCTTTAAAAATCATTTTTAAAAAAGCCAGTACAGTGGGGTCGGGGCAAAGTGGGGACGGGGAGGTCACAGGCTTAGAAGAATTATTAAAACTGAAAGTGATAAAATCACTTTCCAATAAGCGCTTTGATGCTAATCAGTAGTTGGTATTTTCAAACCAGTAAAGTACAAATCACAGTATACACCAGCATATTTACATATATTATATTATTTTTCAATAGATTATTGCACGCTGAATTTCAAATTTGAAAAATTGTTGTTGTGGTTGTGTATTGATTTAGAGAAGTGTATTGTGTGGGCTATTACTCATAGGTATGTTGTTCACATCGTCCCGAAACTAAAAATAAGACACTAATAACGGTGAAAAATATTTGTGTGAAACACAGTACTTCTAGGTCTTTTATACAGAGTGATTCATTTTGGGTAAGACACTAGTTTTCTCCGAAAATATTAATATTTTTAATATTATATTTTTCCTATTTTTTTAGATACACTTTGTACTATATTTTTCAATACTTTGAAAATTGTTATCTCTATCCCTTATACGATAAATAGGGTCCAAGTTCACTTTTTCAAATGACAACATATGATATTAATTCCATAAATTTGTAGGAAAATAAGGAGATAAAATGTTTTGAGATAATAGTTGATCTTATCTACTAAATTATTATTTTATGTGATGACTGGTGTAATAAAACTACTTGTCTTTGTTGAACCGAATGAAAATATTAAGGAATATAGATAAAAATTCAAATCTTTACAAAGTCATACCAAGCGAACAAATGGATAAAACTTAATTATTCAAACACTAACATTTTTTTAAAATTTTTGCCTATATATTTAAGGAATTTAAAACATATGTTGCTATTTGAAAAAGTGATACCTTACTCTTTGTTTTGTATAAGGGTTGGAGATACAAATTTTCACAGTATTGAAAAATGTAGTAAAATATGTACCTAACAGTATAGGAAATTATTTTTATTTTTAAATGTTCATATTTTCCGAGAAAATTAGTGTCTTACCCAATATGAATAACCCTGTATACTAACGCATTTAACAGTACAAACAATCTGGGTACATAGACAGTGTTGTTAAGTATTTTCATGTGTACTACTATTACTCATATGTTATTTCATATCCACTTTGAACCATATTTTTCAATACTTTGACAAAAATTCAAATCTTTACAAGTTCATAATAAGCGAACAAATGGATAAAACTTAAAAATTCAAGCACTAACATTTTTAAAAAAAATGTTTCTATGTATTTATGGAATTAAAAATATGTTGCCTTTTGAAAAAGTAATGCCTTACCCTTTGTTTTGTATACGGGTTGGAGATACAAATTTTCACAGTATTGAAAAATGTAGTACAATGTGTACCTAAAAGTATAGGAAATTATTTTTTATTTTAAATGTTCACATTTTTCAAAAAAAAAAGTATCTTACCCAAAATGAATGACAATGTATATTTTATAAACTTTTAAAAATAAGGATAATGTATAAACCATATTGATTTGTTAAATAATCTTTTGACCTTAAACAGTCACTTTGCCGCAGAGATTAACACACCATTGTTTGTACTACCGATCATAAGTACTTGAACCTATCAACCTCAAACACTTCATCACCGCCCATCTGCAATACCTGTCTTGTTCTTTAACTTTCTCCAAAATCAAACACATTACTATACATTTTACTCTACATTTTTCCCTTCGAGCGCTTCTCTCCACTTTTCAAGTCCCTCACACAATTTTTCTGGAATTTTCCCCATTAACAATACATTGTGATTGAAACATTTCTTTAATATTTTAATTAACAAAACAGCAAAAAGATTGATAAATATTATTCCACTAACTTAACTTTACAAAAAATGACTAAAATTCATTGACTTTAAAAGTAGTCATATAACAAGTTTTTGGGGTAGCTGATTTCGAATTTATTTATAAATTTTCAACTCGGCCAAAAAAGACTTAAGCTTCCAGTACATGATGATGGCTTAAGTAATATAATTGCAATGTTTTTATTTTTTAGATTTCAATAGTATTCAATTCTATAATTCTGTAATTGGAAATATATTACTATATTAATATATAGCTATATTTACTTAACATTTGGTAACATAATATGACTTGTAATCTAGAAAATATACTGTGGCTGGGGGAGGGGTAATTCAATCTTAGTACTCTTTATGAGCGAAGACGGAAAGGGTATACATACAAAATGATCGAATACTTAATTATACTAATCCGTCACTTTTTCTATAGTTTACTGGAACATGGTACGGCAATACAACGACATTATGATGTTTACCCACAGAAAGTCAAAAAATTAAAGCCTCTTACCAATTACGAATTTTGTTATGGAAAATTGGAAGCCAATAGAAGTGTACCGTCAGTAATGAATTTTTATGATTCTAGTCAGGATTATTCAGGTACGTGAAATTTGAACATTTAATTCTCAAGATTTGCCTACTCCAAAAACTTTCCAATGCGCTTATGCTAAAAAAATATACACAATGAAATTACTAGTTATGTATTTTTGCCATCCGTGAGAATAAACTATTTAACATAAAATAATTCTAAGGACACCACAGAATTGAGAATAAAATTCTAACCCAAAATTATGTGTCACATTTCATATGTTGGTTTTGGTCACATGCTGGCCATTCAGTGGCCACCCTGTGGACGTATGTGTGGCCAGATACCAAAAAATCATGTTATATATCAATTCAACAACACCTATTTAGGTTAGGTACGTAATTGGTAATTTTTGTAATACATTCTGCAGATCCCAAAGTGGAGAAACCGTCTTTTGTTGTGCTCGAAACTGATTATGTAACCTATGCGAGTGTGTTCATGTGCGTAAAAATTCCAGTTAGCCCTGATTATATCCATTTGGTAACCATTTTATCCAGAACAGTGGACTTAAATGAAGACATCTATAATAAGGTAAATATAAAACAAAAATTGCTTTGTTTTATTGATATTCATCGTTTTAGAATAAAAATAAAAATAAATTTAATTGAATCTGATTTTTTGCAGTTTAAAATAATGTATTGTTTGTTCTTTAATTTACAGTTGCTTTTAAATATAACTCAGGTAGCTGATTTAAAATTCGAAACCGTTAACCACGAGGACTGTAACTATGGGAGTCTCGTTTAAACCATTGACGACAATGACAACGATGGACTACCTTACCTTTCTGTCAAATGGTTGGAAGAAAAAGCTGGACCTAGTCAACCTACACCATTGGAAAACGTTGATGATTAAATACGAATAAATTCGAAAGATTTATAGTTCGACAATGTAAAGCTAACTCTGTTGCTAAACTTCATTAAAATTATAATGTTTAATGTAATCTATAAAAAAATGTTATCATAAAACCTTTTACTATAGTTTATAATTTATATTTAATTCAAAATCAACGATAACTACAAAAATATTAAATTCTTAGATATATTTGTTTAATTGAAGATTTTTAGCTTAGTACAAATGTACTTAATACGCTTGTTAAATACAATTAAACTGTACCATATAATATTTCAAAGTAAAAAATATAAAAACAATTGGAAATTTCTTAAAAGTATTTTGTTATTAAT